GCACGGCAGGAATATATGCTGTGCTCAGCGTTTATTTTCAAGTGCTCTATTGAGACGATTACATTACCAGAGTAATGCAAGGAACTTGTACTTATCGAAGAGGACTTTAACTTAACCGTCAACACTCTATGTGAGTACAAGCATGAGCACACTTGAGAAATCGGAACTGTCCCTTTAAAGGCTGACCTAACATGACAAGGCCACTGGTCACTGCAGGCTACGCTTTATCATCCTCCTGGGAAATGGAGGGCAGTGCGGCAACCGTCTGCTTTTATCTGACTCACCACCCATCCCCCACTTACCATATCAGCGTACGCTTCATCCCCGAGCCGTATACAGTACTTTTACACAGATTTGTATTTGGTTTCATTTGAAACTTCCCTTCCAGCTTCCAATACTCAGGCTTGGTATCAGTCTGATATTGGTCAACATTTCAGGGTTGAACATAAAAAAAAATCGGTCTCTGTGCCATGAGAAAATAATGGCAAAATATTTTTACTGTGTCATGACATATGCAGCTAATCAAAACCCCCCCAACGAATATATTTACTTGAGGAACTACCATTGTTATAAATAAATACATACAGGGCGTTTACAACGTCCTCGACCTTTGTCATTTTGTGGTTACGTCACTGTCTCCTATAAATGTATTAAGTAAAAGTCCAATTTTGCGTTACAACAAATTTTCCACGGGAACTAGTTGTGGAGCGGAGCAGCAATATATGCGGAAGACATATATTTACATTCGCCCATTATATGTCCTACATTGGATTGGGCTTGTTTATGTTTCTTTTTTTTTCAGGAACATTTTGCCCTTCATTATGGTTCCCGAGCGTAAGTCCGACTTTCCTGATGTTTTTATGTCCTAGTTTATGATGATGTTACCACGGTGTTAGCGTAGGTGAATGACATAGACTTACAGCAAAAATCGAGTTACATGGCGCTGAAGGAACAGAATTACAACGTAAGTCGAGGATGCCCTGTATTTAATGTTTTCAATTTTTGGCTAGGTCATTGTGATTTGACAAGAAGTGTCCAACGTATGCTTTTTTAACAAGAATATATGAATAGATGTTAATAAAATACACTCAGTGGACGTTTGTAGTGAAAACACACGATGTCTAATAATTACTTGGCACATCATCTCACAGGGACTTTGTTGCATCAGCAGATCCGTTTACAGCTTGTCTCTGTGATTACTCTGAGACAGACTGGTGTGGTGAGCTTGGAGACAATCCTGATAAGCCAGTGAAGGCTGAACGCTGCTCTGACTGAAGACATAGCCACTGTATCCTGACAGAGGAACTCTTGGATCAATTACTATTAGTGCCTTGATCGTACTTATAGTTATAATGGCTGGACAGAATCTCTGTACTGAACCGAACTAAACGTATTTATGTAAAGCTTCCTAAAAAAAATCTTTATGTATTTTCTGGAAAAAAATGAAATATATATACATGTATATATGTGGCACTTTGACCCAGAGGCAATGTCTCTGTCATTGATGTGGAACCCCAGGGTTCACCTCCTGGGCAAGATCGAATCCCGGTTAGGGCGGTTGCCCCCGCGACCCGGTAACAGATACGCAGATGAAAATAAATGAATGAATATAGTATACAGATATCTTGTCACCTATATATAGATACTATATATATATGCATACCTATTACATAACATCGCCATCTTCCATAAATGTATTGAAAAAGTCTTAATATATTTATGGAAAAGTAAAGATAGATGGCTATATAAACTAAATTTTGCAATCTCGGTTGAGCACTCGAGGAAAATCTTGCAATAGTTGTTTACTTGGAAAACTCGTATTTCGGGTAGCTCGCGTCTCAAAGCACCACTGTACATTTATATACTATTAAAATGTGGATCAGTTAGAAAGTGCGACTGCTATTGATGCAGGAAGAGGAAGCAGGAGAGAAGGGAAAACAGATGATGAAACAGGAACTGTGTATGTGTGTGTGTGTGTGTAGTTAGAATGCCTAATCCTAGCGGCGTTGCATCACACTGAAACACCATCTGTTACTATTCGCTTTCAGAGGTGTTCTTCGCTGGTGGTCGTACAATGGCTACCACCGCCGGGTTGCTGATGATATGATGGCATACCCAGGAGGTGCCATTTTGTTTGTTTTGTTTTTGGCTTTTTACTTTGTCGTACATCCTGAAGGCTCTGTTAAGATCAATAATGAATTCAAACGTCTACTGTAGGAAACATTTACGATTTTGTTTCCTGTTTAAACTTGAACCTAACCTACAGACCACTTGTAAGGAAGACACTGGCACAGAACTAGGACACAACTGAACCAGGAAGGGGAAAAAAATCGCCTGGGGCTCTACATCTGTGCCAGTGAAGGTCAGCTTTTGTACGTGGCTATTAGGGCTAAAATGTCACATCATTGATAGAATCCGCAGCTATTTCCTGCACTCTATTTTTTTAATTTTTTATGGATTTTATTTGCCAACTTTGTTCATTTATTTATGTGTTTGGAAAAGTGGTAGAGTGGTGAGTGCTCTCGCCTTACATTTAGTGGTTCTTAATTATTTTCTGTTACCGCCCCCTTGGGGACAAAGCCCCCCTAAAAACCCCCTAACCCTAACCTAACCCTAACCCTAACCCTAACCCCCAACATGATCCTAAAAAAAGTGAATGTAGCACACAAGTCTTGATGGAACGAGACTTTCTCAGTGAATAAATGGGAGATGACGATGTAACCTCGAAACGTTGTAGTTTGAGGACATTGTAAAGCGAGGACCTCCTGTGGATTTCTGGACGCTGTAAATTAGCACAGGTGTGAATGACCTCCAAAATGTGGCCCAGTGATGGATCGGGGAAATTAATTTCTTTAAATACTCCGTCTTACAAAAAAAAACAAAAACAAAAAAAACACATTTTTGTAATGATTCAAATTAAAAGCAAACAAGAAGAAAAGACGTGGATTGTTTCTGATAATTAATTTTAACAGTAGTGGTTTCTGTCGTCGGTGTCAGTGAGTTAACAGGAGTGGGTGTGGACAGGGGGACGGGGGGGGGGGGGGGGGGGTGGTTGTGAGAAGGAGGAGGGAGATGCAGCTCTAGCGGGAGACTGAACCACAGTGTGTGTGTGTGTATTGTACAGGGACACATGTCTTCCTGTGCCCCTCTCACTGCGGCTGCCACTGTCCACTGACCGGGGAGGAGACAGCAGAGACTGCTGCTGCAGCTGGAGGCTGACAAACCGAGGGACGTTGTTACAGTCACTGCTGCTGCTTGCTGAGGCTACCAGAGGCTGCCGCAGTCATCGACCAAGAAAATAACCAACCAAGCGAGCGCTGTGGAGTCCGGCGACCATCGGGTTCCAGCCCGTTATAGCGTTATCATCACCGTTATCGCACTGCGTGCTGGTAAGCGACCCCACCTTAAGACCATAAGGTCTCGGTTTTAGTGAAAACCGAGACAGCGTTTATATTGTTTTCACTTTACCATCGCATTTTGTTGCTGCATGTGCATTTCTTCAGCCGTGTCTCGTGTTCCAGTGACACAGACACACGCGCGCGCGCGCACATAGATCCTACGTTGACGGGGAATAGGGTTTTAGAATAGAATTGGTAGTAATATTTTTAATTTTGAAAAAAAAAACCCAAAACACTTCATCTAGGCCTGCTCTAATTCCATGTTATAAAGTATAATTTGTGTATTACATAATGTAATTTTCTCTTAACTTTTCCCACAAGGTAAAGTGGAAAGCTTACTACTTAGTACTAGTACTTTCTAGACTAGGTGTATATGAAGTTATTAGACGTGACTTATAGTGAGGCTAATTGTGAAGTGAGCAAGAACATTCAAGTTCTAAAAGAGAGGTTTTATGCTACTGATGGACAGGTAATTACTATAAATAAAATACATGTAGAATATTTCTAGTTTCTAGCCATGATAATATAAGTTTACAAATAATAAAAAAATTATAAATAATTACCTAATAATAATATAAATATAATAATAATTATAATAATTATATTAATAAATAAATAAATAATTAATTAATAATTATATTATAATTAAAATAATTATAATAATAATATAATAATAATAATAAGGTAATTATTATAAATAAAATACATGTAGAATAGATGTAGACTATTTCTAGTTTCTAGCCATGATAATATAAGTTTACAAATAATAAAAAACCTACACAGATTTACTAGAACCATTCCTAAGTTAAGATTAAAATTTCCAAAATCTTAGAAACTTAAAAAGTGTGTTTATTTTGTAAAATGTATGATATTTCTAATGAAAAATATGTATTGCTTTGTATTTAATGTTCGCCTTTGTATGCAGTTATGGAGTAAAGCTATTAACATGTAGTAAATAACATTTTAATGCACATTTGCGTCACAGTGTGTCACAGGAGTTTTGGTCCCGCCGAGCCGCCGTAGCTATGGGAGAAAACATGTCCAAACGGCTAAAGCTAATCTCAGCCACAGAGGCGGAGATGGAGGAGCGCTCATTTTCAAACCCCTACCCCGACAGGGAGCAGGGAGTCCTCCCCAGCAGCTCAGCAGAAGACAGCGACTTCCTAGATGCAGATGGAAAGGTGGGAGTTGTTGTTGTTTTACTTTTTTATTCTTTAAAGTATATGCTAACTGCCGTTAGCGTGTAGCCAACTGTGTCGCAGTTTTACACTTGTCCATACACCTGCTTGTGCGCATCACAATAAAATAAGTTAGAATCTATAAATAATAAAAATATATTTTCTTTTAGGCACGTTGTTTATAAAATAAATAAAACGAAAAAAAGTAAAGAAAAGTAGAAAAATATCAGCGTGCACTTAAAAGTAGTACAGTAGTAGCATAATAATGCAGGAATAATTAACGAATTCTGTTTGTTGACATTTTATTCAATAAAGTTAGTTAGTTGACAACAACCATTTATAAATTACATTAGTAATATTTTTTATTACCTAAAACGTTTACCCGGTATTACCCAGTTAACAGTATTACATTTAATTATATTAAACATTTATTAAAGTGTGTTTATAAAAATAGAAAAAGGGGAATTAATAATAAACATTTGAGTTTTCGTGGGCACCAAAAGTTGTTTTACTGCTTGAAAGATCACAGAGAATATCACATTAACTTATTATAGTCTTTATTGTCATTGTAACACTCTGGTTTTAACCCATCACTAAGGGAAGCAGTGGGCAGCTTTAAGCGCCCGGGGAGCAGGGTGTGGGGTACCATGCTCAGAGCTTAGAGAGTTACTTTAGTAGAGTAGGTAAGCTAGATAGAAATGTTTAACATTTTAAATTTAACATTTTGTCATATATTATTTGTTATTGTGCAGTAAATAGTGCAGTATATATCCCCAATGCAATGGTAACTAGCATCAAAACTACGTGATATAGATCTGGTTTTGCTTAAATAAGAATAGTGCAGTATACAGTATGTCCCCAATGCAATGGTAACTAGCATCAAAACTATGTGATATAGATCTGGTTTTGCTTAAATAATTATATAAAAAGTTACATACATTAAAAATGTGTGTCTACAATTGGGAAAGGGACTTCTTTGGGATGGGAAGTAATAAACAAATATGTTAGGGGCCCTTATCTCCAGTACAGGTGGTCCTCGATTTACAACATCTGCGACCTATGACGTTTCGTGGTTACTTAACCACCTCCCCTAAATTTATTAGTCTTTTGAGAGTCTTGTTCCATTATTCTGATAACCTGCATTACAACTTGTTAGCATGGGAACTAGTCAGAAGGCAGAGTGGAAGTATGTCTTTACGCAGCGTTGTGCAAAGAAGACGGTTTTGTTTATATTCACGTGTTGTACAACATACATTGGAATGTGCTACATTTGCTATATTTTATTTAGTGTTGTTTTTTTTGGGAACTTAATTCCCCTTCATTATGGCTCCCAAGCGTAAGTCAGACTGCGAGTTTCCACTTACTGTTATAATGTAATCTTTTATTTAGTGTTGTTTTTTTGGGAACTTAATTTCCCTTCATTATGGCTCCAAAGTAAGTCAGACTCTGTGAGTTTCCACTTACTGTTATAATGTAATGTAATGTACAGTTATATTGCAACATAGGAATGGAACTCAAGCGCAAGTTGAAGGCCCCCCTGTATAAGGATGCCATAAAAACACACATTTGGTAATTCTGATTGAATTTCAACAGCTGTGTGAGTTTGAATGAGAGTTAGAGTGATTAAGAAACTGTGACAGATGGAGAGAAAGAGAGAGGGAAAATAAGTCAGTGGAGAGAGGGTGAGTTAAAAAAAATCACATTTATTTCATTGTCACATAAAAAAATAATTAAATCATCGCGTTATGAAGGGTGGTGTAACTGTTTTAGCTCATTCAGGATAAGGATATTGTGGTTCCTGTTAATCTTTCTAGGTCAGTAGTTCAAATCTTTTTTTTGGCCATGATCCCCACAAATTGCATCTGCCCTTCAGGTGAAATCCATGACTTGTAATTTGTGTTTTCACAACAGTATAACGTCATTGATTCCCAGAGCCACACTGTTCATGCTGTTCATAGGCTTCACACTGATGTCACCTGATGTAAAAACTGTCTCTAGAGACTTAATTGACTCCGTATGCCAGATGGAAGTAGCCTTTGAAGGGACATCTGACCCATGCTGCTCAATATGTTAATCCTTAATAGAATCTTGTGGAAACTAACCTTATTAACATAATGTATTTGATCCAATGAATCCTGACAGACAGACTTTAAGTGGTCGGTCATAACCTTGAGGCTGAAATGAGTAGATTTACTTCATCTTTTCCTTCATATGCCATACACACACCTTAGGGCTTTTTTTATACTTAATTATAAAAACTTATATACATTTTTTATTTTCAGATTTCTGATGACTGAGCTTCACTAGGTCTGTTTTTATAGCCTTAGATGTTAAGTAACATCACAGTAGAATTTGGTCAAACTAGTAAGCAACTCTAGAATTTTTTGTATGTTATCCATAAAATAGTCATATTTAAAAAATGCAATATATACATATATATTGCATTTTTAAATGAGTTGTGCTGTTGGAAAGATGGAAGACTTCAAGGTGGAGGTGGGACTACATCAAGGATCAGCCCTGAGCCTCTTCTTGTTTCCTTTGGTGATGGACAGATTGACAGATGAGGTCAGACAGGAGTCCCCATGGACTATGTTGTTTGCTGATGACATTGTGATCTGTAGTGAGAGACAGGAAGGTTTGGAGGAAAAGCTAGAGAAGCCAGATTGATATGGTTTGGACATGTGCGGAGGAGGGACAGTGGATACATTGGTAGAAGAATGTTAGAGATGGAGCTAACAGGTAGGAGACAAAGAGGAAGGCCAAAGAGGAGATATATAGATGCGGTGAGGGAGGACATGCAGATAGTTGGAGTCAGAGTAGAAGATGCAGGGTGAGATGGAAAACAATGCTGCGCTGTGGTAACCACTGAAAAAGGGACAAAGCCGAAAGAAAAAGAAGATTGACATTGCTGTCTGTTTCCCTCAGGTGTATTCCCCATTCCAGAAGAAAGTCCAGAGTAAAATTAAAGATCTCCTTCAGCAGATGGAAGAAGGGTTAAAAACTGCTGACCCACATGACTTCTCCACGTACACAGGCTGGACAGGTCTGTCTTCACCTAACCTTTAACCACGGACCCACGTCCAGTTCATATGCATTGTTTAAAAATCTTCTGTTCGTCTGGTCTTTTGCCAACAGGTATTGCTCTGCTGTATCTGCAGCTGCACCGGACGTCCAGTGAAGCTTCCCACCTGCAGAGGGCATTGGACTATGTGAAGAGGGCCATGAGGAGCCTGAATGGTCGCAAAGTGACCTTCCTGTGTGGTGATGCTGGGCCACTAGCAGTAGGTGCAGTGGTCCACCACAAGCTTGGCAACACTGGGGACAGCAATGACTGCCTTACGAGGTGAGCAGTTGTAAAGTTATAGTAAATAAAATATTAAAATTGTTAAAAACTGTTCTCATAAAAAAAGAAGTAGCTTCTTTAAAAGTAAGGCCTGAAAATTAGACAAAGTACAGGGGTCTAGCCTTCTCAATTGACAGGACTTTGGTGAAATTCTGAAATGCTCAAAAATGTGGGATTCACAATATATAGATACTGTAAACACTCGGTATCAGAGCCACATATCCAAAACCCATACAATAACTGGAAATTTCAGTCCATATTAAAATAAATATTGACCTTCAAATGAATGTATATTGATGATGTTGATTAGATGTTGATGTTGATTAGAGGTTAGCTTAGCTTAGCTTAGAGGTTTGCTAACATAAATTTACACACTAACAAAAAAGTACAAACTGCAACCATGCTTACAGACGTTGCCAATCCATGCAAACATTTTCACCCAGTATTGAACTTTTGTGGCTTTTGTTACTTTTTCCTGCAGCAGTAAGATATTTTTAATTGAAATTCACAACACATCAACATTGGAGTGCTTTTTGAAATAGCTTGGAGACAAATACTATTGCAGTTTATGAATAGCAACCAGAATATATATAATACATTTTTTCCTGATAGATTTTACCGTTTTGACACTTTCACATAGAATTATAAATAATCTTTAAGCGGGACAGATCTCAAATATATGCAGATATTCTCTTTAGTCATGTCCGATAGGAAGTTAATTACAACATCTCGGCAATTTCTTCACTGTAAAAAGTTTTGCTTTTTCTAAAGTGTAAAATGTACACAATCTAGACAAAGGGCAGTGTCATAAATGAAGTGTTTGGATCTATTATTTATTTCCTTTAAATTAAAAAAAAAAGAACGTGATTATGTTTTTAAGATTTAAACAAATGTTTTTCGTAGTGAACAAGAATAAAGTTGGCTTGAAAGTTGTTTGTAATAAGCCTCTGTTTTTTTGTTGTTTTTTTTGCCAGACTCCTCCAGCTGCAGAGGTCAGTGTTGAGTACAGACTCAGAGATCCCCGATGAGCTGCTGTATGGACGCACTGGCTACCTGTACGCTCTACTATACATTAACAAAGAGATCGGAGCCGACACAGTGGATGAGAGCACCCTAACAAAGGTAAGACATTGACACAATGAAGCTGTAGCTTCAGAATTGATGGTCTGCGTCAGTAGTTTTTGAAGTGAGAATAAAACAGCAGCACGTTTTCTGTCTGGTTGATGGTCACGAGCGTGCATGCGCAAAATGCCCGCCGGTCAGCAAGCCCTGTTACTGTCCAATTTGGATTGCTGCCCGATTTGCATCATGTGCAAATGGCGTCACATTAGCGGAGTTGGAGGGTGTCGCTGCTCAATTTTAATTGGCCACGAAAGGTCGCTGTCATCGAGTTAACGTTAACTTGAGCAACTAACAGTATATGGTGAAAGTCTGTTTAAGAAAAATATATGTATACAATTCCTTTCTGCTTCAAATATTGTTGACGTTTTGTTTACAATTTTAAAGTTTAAAGTTAAAGTTATTCTTTTTAATCCCATTGCCTTTTGTTTCTCAAACACACACTATCCACCCCCCCGTGTATACTCTGTGTTTCCGGTGAAGTTTTAGTGTACACACACATACACACATACACATTGCAAAAGTTTACAGCAAATATCCTCAGTAGGTTTCAGTCCTTGCTTATGAAGGATGACTATGTGAGATTTTTTTAGATCTCTTGAGCTGTTTTTTGCTGCAGTGCTGCAGTTCTTTTCATTACACAATCATTTGTGCTCGTATACCTGTCACCAGCACGCAGTTCAGAAGCACTTTCCAGTCAATTTGCCTGTGTCTGTGTTCCATGGATTTTTTTTTTTCTTTCTTTCTATTGCCTCCTACTGGTCTTTTGTATCGTATTTTTTTTTTTTTCTTTTGTCATTTTGAAAGTATCGTCATCTGTCTAGCTGACTGTCAGTGCTGGGACTGGTTCTCACTTCTCTGACAGGCAGTCTGCCTGACACTGTGTGCAGTGTAGATCAGTGCCGTTCACACTGTTGGAGAATTTTGTTTTTGTCTGTTCTTTGTTCTATGGAGAGATCCAGTACTACTAGTTTATGGTGCCACCAAAATGTAAGAGATGTGTAACATTTCTCTAAGAGAACCATAACAAAAAAGCAGTTTTAACAGCCTGCTTTTGAAGTGGTGAACATTTTTATAAAATATTTTCAGCATCCATTTTGTTAGTGTAGATTATATTAGTTTGACCTTTATTGATCCCACACTGGGGCGATAAATTAGTGCAGGCATTAACAAAGGTAACTAAACGGCTCTGCATGCAATGCCATTCCAAAGGTTGTTTACAATAAATATACAGTTAAGAGAAAGAAACGGATGAATGGTTATCAGAAAAAAAACAACAGATGAAATCTGATCACTGAAGAGTGCTGCTGTGCTCCTTTGGCAACATATCATTGTTGTGCCCAAAAACATTGTAGATGGCAAAACAGAATGAAAACTCACACGCTAGAACTCTCATCTGTGACCTCGATTGTCTGTGACACACCACGTGGGATGAAACAATTGTTTATTTGTCCAGGCAATGAGCTCCAAGCTCCATTGTCTGTTTACATTGTGCAATTCCAAATAGAACATGTAATCTCGGTTGTTTGTGTGTTGACAGAACACTAACCTGTAATGCAGAAACGATCTCTTAAGAGCTCCCGTTCAATTTTAGGACAATTGTGGCCTGCAAGTCAAACAGTTTGTCCATGCCTGCCTTAGGTGCTCCTTGTGTCACAGCTTATAAGATAAAATAGAATAAGTTCATTATGCGTCCCATAGTGTGTTACAGCTGCAAAGTATAGTACAGATGATAATAATGATTATGGTATAGTAGGGATGACTATTCAAAATGCCAATATTGTCCAAACACTTCATTTCCGATACCAATACCTACATATGCAGCCATTTGGGTTAAAGGCAGAAAAAAGGCAGAGGACACATTTAATTGAGTGCAGTGGTGTACTGTGTGTCACAATGAAAATACCGTGTGCAATATATGTTCATATATATTTGTTTGGAAGGTGCCACTGTTTTAGTTAGACTGCATTCCAAACACTAGGCTTTGCCTTCTTGCCTCGTGACAGTTTTTTTTCAAAAGTATTTTCTTCAAGTATCTTACTATTATACTGTATATTTTACTATACTGCAATTGAGTTTTGCTGTAAATATAATGCATAATGTTTCATGATAAAAGTTGATTGAATGGGCGAGTATTCTCTGTTATCCTATGCAGGTGGTGACGGCCATCTTGGAATCGGGGAAGAACATGTCAGCAGAGCAGAAGAAGACAGACCGCTGTCCTCTGCTCTACGAGTGGCACAAAAAGCAGTACATTGGTGCTGCACATGGCCTGGCTGGGATCTATTACACACTGATGCAGGTGAGGGAAGAAAAGTTGGCGAATAGGAATTTGTCTGGTGGAAGCAACTTCTTATTTTTCTGTGGAATTACAAATGGTTGCTTGTTGTTTTGGTTGTTCATTTTTATGCCGGATTTGTTGTAGTTATTTTTCTGTGGAATTACAAATGTTTGCTTGTTGTTTTGGTTGTTCATTTTTATTTTTTTTATTTTTATGTTTTTACAGTACATCTCTAGAATAAATTGCTACTAAAATACCTTTATCTAAGGTTTATTTAACCACTGAAGCTATTCCTACCTAAATTAAATCATTGGCAAGTGGGTTAGTGGTTGAAAATCTGATGTGTGGAGGAGGTTGTTTTTGTAGGCAGGGAGCCAATAGAGGTGTTAGCTCGCCACAGGGAACAGTAATTGAAGTGGTCCTGCCCGATGAGCCACTGAAGTAGCTCATCAGGCAGTGAAGATGAAGATGAAGTGCCTCGTTCTGTCAGGAGCCAGCGTCTATTGTGCTGTTGTGTTGAACAGTACATCACAGCGCAGATTGCTGATTGACAGTAACTGGTTTAGATAAGTACTGACATACTGCTGATTCAGCGATTCCCGGACGCAGCAACTTAGGAGTTGCGACTTGTGAGCCTCTTTGCCCTACTAAAGTTTACTGGTAATTTCTTTGAATATTCTACTGCAGTTTGAATGCAGTCCACGTACTCTTTGACAAATACAGGCATGGGCAAACTACAGCTTGGCTATTTAATCTTGTCCGCTAAACTTGTCCAAATAAAATTATTGATTTTTATTATTATTATATGTCTGTCTTTTCCCGGCCTTTATGCATAACATTAATATTAGTTCACAAAAACATTCCATCTGACTGCTTCTGACCCAGCCCCCGTGTCAAATTTTAGGACCCATTATGGTCTGCAAGTGAAAATGTTTGCCCACGCCTGCTCTAATCACTCACCTCTAATGTGATGTGCAGCTCTAACTGAAATGAAAGTATTTCACTAAGTCTTTCACGTTAGTCCCTAAGTGCTTTAATGTGTGTGATGAAATGAGCGATGGCCTCACCAGTATTTTTTGTTTGTTTGTTTTGTTTCTCTAAAGCCTACAGCAAAGGTACACGCAGACGTGCTGTCAGAGTTGGTCCGTCCCTGCATTGACTACGTCCGCCACAAAAAGTTCCGTTCTGGGAACTTCCCATCATCCCTGAGTAATGAGAGCGACCGACTAGTTCACTGGTGCCACGGAGCGCCTGGTATCATTCATGTGCTAATCATGGCTTATCAGGTGAGACTTAAGCGCAAGGAAAATTTGCTGAAAAACGAAAATGAGAAAACCAAGGCTGAAAACCGATACACCAAAATTTTTTTTTTTTTTTACCTAATTATTAGTATCATTGTATTTATGGTTGTGACTGTGTACTTAACCTTAATAAAATCAAGGCAGTGCAATTGCATAAATTAATAATAAATAAATAATGAATGAACAATTGTCAAAATAATGAATCAAAAATCAAATATATAGCAGAGAAATAAACTCAACTGATACTGTCACATAGGAAGTCACAACAGAATAGCCCACCTATTTTTTATTATTTGAGGCACTCTTGCAGGATCTTAAGGAACATATCAGGCAACGAGGGGGCTTGCCCCTCATCTGGCACGTCCTTTTTGCTGTGCTCTGCTCTCCTCCTCCTGCACATTTGGGCCATTTTTGATCGAGAATTCCTGCGGTGGAATTC